TTTTTAAATAGTGAATTCTACAAATAGTTAAAAAATCTCAAAGAACTTGGGACAATTTACAGAATACATCTAATTAGTAAACATTTATAAAAAAAATAAGTGGTGGTGTAAATTCCTCGGCTTGGCCTTGGCTACAAATAATAATTAAAGGAATACAATGACCATGTATTATAAAAAGCAATTAGGTATTTTTTTGTTAAGTATCACAAAAATACTAAAAAATGTGAAAACTAAAATTTTGACAAAAACTACACAAAAAGTTTTAAAAATTAAAATAAACACTGTTTTATTGCTAAAAATTTACAAAACAATTTTGGAAATTTATATAAATAAACGATTTTTTTTGTTTTTCTTAAAAATAGTAAATTTTCCGAAGAGTTTAAAAATCTCAAAGAACTTGGGGCAATTTACAAAATACATACTTACATCTAACTAGAAATTACAAAATATTTTTTTTCGGAGCCAATGAGGGAAACAAATTTAAATTTAAAAATATAGTCTTTATTTTTCCTTACTAAAACGGTTTATTTTTGTTGCCAAATGAAAAAAAAAAACTTATTATTTCTGCGTTGATTTGTCCAATTTTTCACTCATTTGTCCATTTGTCCAAATATTGTCAATTTGCTGGTAGCAATTTTTTTAACGCCAACTGAGAACACATTTTTCAATGCAAAAAAATTTGCGATTTTTCTGTAGGTACTAAACAAGGAAAAAATATGAATTTTTCAAAGCCAATTGAGGAAACAAATTTAAATTCATCATTTTTTAAAGTTAAATGAAAACTTTAAACTGCGCTTTTTTTTGAAGCTCATTGAAATAGTCTTTTATCTAATTTTAATTTTTCGTACCTAATTGGAAAAATCAATTTAAAGTAATTATTTTTGTGTCTTTTTCAAAGCAAATTCGAATTGYATTAAAATAGTTTTTTATGGCCAATCGGTTTTTTTGGGAAAAACTACACAAAAAGTCTTAAAAATTAAAATAAACATTATTTTATCGCTTTTTTAATTTTCAAAACAATTTGGAGAAAACAATTGATTTTCTTTTGTTTTGTTTTTTAAATAGTGAATTCTACAAAAAGTTTAAAATCTCAAAGAACTTGGGACAATTTACAGAATACATCTAACTAGTAAAAATTTGTGAAATTGCAAAATAAGTTTTTTGAAGCCAATGAGGGAAGCAAATTTAAATTTAAAAATATAGTTTTTATTTTTTATCACTAAAACGATTTATTTTTATTGCAAAACGACGAATTAAATTGCGTTCATTTTTACAAATTGTCCAAATATTGTCAATTTTCTGGTAGCAGTATTTTTTTATCGCCAACTGAGAACACACTTTAATGCAAAAAAGTTTGCGGATTATTCTGTACTAAACAGGGAAAAAAATATGAATTTTTGCAAAGCCAATTGAGGAAACAAATTTAAATTTATCATTTTTTGAAGTCAAATGAAAACTTTAACCTGCGATTTTTTGGAGCTTGATTGACGAAATAGTTTTTATCTCACTTTATTTTTGTGGCTCATTGGAAAAAGCAATTTAAATTAATTGTTTTTGCATGTTTTCCAAAGCAAATTTTAATTGAATGGCCAATCGGTGAGGTTTTTGCAAAATCATAAATTTGATTGGTTGGACACATTTGTTGGTCCGATTACAAGGGCCAATAATAATCATTTCGCATTCACGTAATTACCACTACCGTGAAAGCAAACCGGTTTTTATTTCCTATTGGCCAAAATCCGACAAAAACCTAGCAACGATAAGTAACTCCACCCATTTAAAAAATCGCGAATAATTATTGCATTCCCAATCGAATTATTACAACAAATCAGCGTTTAGTGTGAGTTATCTTACTTTAATTGGATCTAATTTTGCACAGGGGGTGGAGCCAACCCCAGAGCCAATATAAATCATGCACTTTCGATTATTAGACCAATAAAAAGTAAAAAAATATTCAATGCGTGTCATTGCTCGATCATTAGCCAATCAATTACGACTTTTATAAACCAATCAGAACACGTCTTAGATTTTTCGACAAGAAAAATAAAAATAATAAAAATCTTTGTTTCTGTTTGATTTTATTGTCAATATAAAAAGTAATTATTAATTTTTTTTTACTGTCAAATGTCCAAACTGTCAAAATTTGACATTTTTGGTTATTGTCCACTTTTGTTAATCTTGTTGCTTAGCAACTAAATTTTCTTTAGTTACATTTATTTTGTTTTTTTGGCGGGAAATTGAAACACAGTTAATCATTACAATTTTTTATTGATTTAATTTCAAACAAAACTTGCTATTACGATACTTCCCACACTGTCGAACTGACTGAATTTTTTTTCCTACTTGTCACCTCAACATGCGCATCTAAACCGTCCGATAATCGACTCAATCTCCTCGCCCATGACCCTTTCAATGCTACGAAAAAAAATAACAAACTTTTTCGTAAAAACACCCAATTTACCTCTCCTACCACCCTCAACTCTCGGATTATTATTCTCCTTGATTGTGTTCATTAAATCTTCATACATGTCATTGTCACTTTTCTTCAAACCATGCTCGTATTTCGCTTCTTTAGCCAACAAAGTCTCTCGTTGAATTTGAGTTTTGAGCTACAAAAATCGAAAAAAGTGAAATTTTTTCCAAAAAGTTGATTTACCTCTGAGGGAACGTCAGGAATGACATATTGCATAATTCCAGTCAAGGCAAATACAATATGCTAAAATCGTAGAAAAAAATAAGTGTATAACTCGTGTATGCAACTCACTTCAAATATTACGACAAAAGCGAGTCGGGCAGCAAAAACGTGCCAATATTGAGGACTCAAACCGTACTTGTCGATGTCTTCGGGACCATTACGGTACCCACGGTACTGACATATAGCCGGCGGTGGTTCCTCATTATTGTCACCACCCATATCGGCATGGTAATCCGACGTGTTGAACGCTAGAAAAAATCTACAACACGAGGCGAAGCCGAGTCATACTTACTCGACAATGAAGAGTCAATGTAGCCTACTAGATCCTCAGTCGGCGAGTACTTGTACTGGTAGACCATGCGCGGGATGAAGTCGCTAGTGTACGCGATGACAAAGGCCTTAAAAAATTATGATATCTTATATACTATAATGATATATGATATGATGTATGATATGTGATATGATATGTGATATATGTGATATGACATGTGATATGATATGTGATATGATATGTGATATGATATGTGATATGATATGTGATATGATATGTGATATGATATGTGATATGATATGTGATATGATATATGATATGATACGAGTAATAATAAATAAATAAATAAATAAATAATAATAAATAGTTTCTTGATTCTTTTATAATCAATTAAAAGATTCAATGCAATTTTTTTCAAAACTGTAATTTTTGAGTTACTATAGTTTTCGTTGGGAGAGTCGATATGATATATAAAATGATATATGATATGATGTATGATATGATGTATGATATGATGTATGATATGATATATGATGTGATTTACGATGTGATATACCTATGGTATAATATTTGATATGATATATGATATCGACTCTTTCAACAAAAACTATAGTAAAAATTGTTTTTTGAGTACGATAGCTTATGTTGGGCCCAAAATACAAAAACAATGAGATTTTTTTTTTTGAATTATTATTATTATTGAAATTATTATTATTACCAATATAATTTATAATTATTATAATTTTTTTGAAATTATTGTTACCAAAGTTTAGACTCTTAACAATTTTTAGTAATATTAAACAGTTCCTTGACTTTTTTATTAACAATCAAAGATTCAATGCAAGTTTTCTCAAAACTGTAATTTTTGAGTTACTATAGTTTTCGTTGGGAGAGTCGATATGATATATAAAATGATATATGATATATGATATATGATATATGATATATGATATATGATATATGATATATGATATATGATATATGATATATGATATATGATATATGA